CCCCAGCTGAGCCCCCCGTTTGCCCCCACAGGCCCGTGACTGCAAAGTGCAGGGGGACGTGGAGGGCGCCCAGCGGCACGGCAACCGCGCCAGGGTGCTGAACATCATCTTCACCATCCTCATCGCCGTCGGCGTGGTGTGTGTCATCTCCATCATCTTCATTGCCCTCTTGCAGTCGAGGGTCTGACTGTGCCGCCACCAACCTGCTTGCTGGAGAGCTTCTCCTCCCTTCTCCTCCCCGAATGTCCCCGCTTGGGGCACTGGAGGGGAGAGCGTCACGCCGTGTCCCCTCACCGCCTGTGCCCCAGGTGTCCCAGCGTGGCCACCATGTGGAAGGAGATGGGGGGGGGCCAGGCTGGGGCACAGGGGACAGCCCCCCATTCTCCTTTGCTTGTGCTCCTCAGCTGGGAGCTGCCAGGCTCTCAGGTGTGTAACTCCCCTGCCACGCGTGCACAGGTCACCGGTGCCACAAATAAAACTCATCCTGCTAAAGCCCCCTCGCCTGGCGCCTCATTCCCGGTGGGGAAGGAGGAGAGAGAGGCTCCTTGAGCATCCTGGGGACAGCCCCCTCCTCCCACTGCCAGCTCCACAGCTCTGCCCCCATCCCTGCCGTGCTGCACAGCACTTCCAGACCACATCCCAGAGAAGTTCCATTCTGAAAATGTAGGCATGGCAGAAGAAGGAAAGAAAAAAAATGCCCGTCCTGCCACACAGCCCCATCTCCTCCCGCCACCAGGGAACCCCCTCGGAGTGGCTCTGCCACATTTGGGTATTAAGTTCCCAGTTAGTGCATCCCGTGGCCCAAAAGCTCTGCAACAAGGGGTCTTACCAGCCAGGACCACCCAGAGAGGTTGGCCCGAAGGTATTGGTGCAAGCCAGCGCTGTCTTGTATTGGCTCCTCAGGGTGACAGTGACTCGGTGCCAAGGTCATCCCATGGCTCCGTTCCTATGGCCCTCCCTGAGCCCTCGGCCTCTCCTTCAGTCACACGGGAGCTCTCTGCTCCTCATTGCAGGAGGAAGGCTGGACATAAAACCGAACAAAACCGCGGGTGCTCCTCCTAGGTCCCAGCCAAGCCCTTCTGACAACCACAGCCCGGGAGGGCTGTAATTTCTGAGATTTATATATAGAGGGGACAAGGCTGCGGCGCTGACAAGGGCTGTATAAAGGGGCCGCCCTGCCCTGCTGCCCAGTCAGGCTGGTGGAGCAGGAGAGGCACAGGGTGCCCCTCTCTGTGGCCATGGACACCTCGTACCCGCGGGAGGACCACAAGCAGGAGCCGACCCCCACCGTCAGCTCCCCACTGCCCCGGGACCACCTCGTCTGGTCCATCTTCAACACCATCTACATGAACTTCTGCTGCCTCGGCTTCGTGGCGCTCGCCTTCTCCGTCAAGGTACGGGTGCTGAGAGGCGGCCGAGTCCCAGGCAGGGATGGGAGGCTGGACATTTGGGGTCACCTGGGAGCCCTCCCCGCGCTGACACCCTGCGATGGGCTTCCCGAGGAAACTGCATCTGGAACGCAGGGACTCTCCTGAGGAGGCACTGGGAGGGCTGGGGTGAGGGACGAGAGCCCAACACCCTGCAGAGCCTGGTTGCAAGTGCCACCACCTCGTGCTAAAGCCCGCACCCCAATTCTGCCTCCTCTTGCTGAAGCTGTGAGACCCCTCACC